GCTGCCTGCTGGGGCTCGGGCTGGCGGCGCGGCTGGGCCGCTGAGCGCGCGGCCCGGTGCTACTGCGTCCCGCCCGCCCCGCTCCGCTCCCCCGTCCCTTCCCGTCCCTTCCCTTCCTCGCCTCTCCTTTTCTCTCCCACCTCTTACGCTGGCGGGAGGCAGGGTGTTGGGGGAGACGCTGCAGCTCGCGGCCGGCAACCCCAGACCCGCCGCCCCAGGACTCGCCCGCAGCGCCCGGCGGCGCTGGCCTGCACCGGCCGGCGGACCCAACTCCAGTTGCCTACAACTCCAGTCGCTGACTTGATTCTCTTTTGTATTCTTTCTTTATTTTACTTTGCGACCCACCAGACCCCAGGCCCATGAGGGACTCCCTGTCTGGGGTAGGGCTAGAGAAAGGACGGGGTGGGTGGAGACTTCCTTTTGTAGAGAACTATTTTTGTTTGTATTAACTGTCCCCTGTACGGAGGGACTTGGGTGGGCGCTGGTCACCGCAGTGGCAGACGATGTATAACCCAACTGAGTAAAGAGTGTTCACTGCTGCTCGGGCCTGCTTTCCGTGTGTATGTGAAGAGCGGCAGGCTTGGGGTTTAAGGAGGAACCCACAAGGTGCCCTTGAAAAGCAGGGTCTGGTAGCTCCTGACTGTGGTGCCTCAGAGAGGCGGAGGAGGGAGGATACCAAGTTCAAGCCCAACCTGGGCAACTTATCATGACCCTGACTCAAAATTAAAAGGACTAGAGATATACTCAGTACAAAGATCCTGGGCTCAATCTCCAGTACTACACACACACACACACACACACACACACACACATTATACCCTTAAATGATTTTCCATACCAGGCCAGCACTTCCTGGGGGTCAGGGAAGTGAAACTGAAGCCCCCTAGAGGCTGGGCATGGTGGCCCGCGCTTGTAATCCCAGCTCTTGGGAAGCTGAACACAGGCCAATCACTATGAGGCTGATCTACATAGTGAGACCCTGTAGACCCTGTACTAAATTTTAAAAAAAGAAAGAAGGAAATAGAACATTCTTCTACAGTTTGACTTTATTTAAAAAAAAAAAAAAAAAAAGCACCCTGCTGGCGGGCCTTCCACCCTCGCTGGGGTGTTCCAACTCCATGGAAGGAGCTTCCCAGAGCTGAGAGCTGCCCCCTCTTCCCTTCACCCTCAAAGCCCATGCCCCGGTGGTATTTTGCTGTTTTGCTTCCGAAGCCCAGGGCAATGATTCCGGGAGACTACCCAAGGAGCCTGAGTCCCACACGCAGATCTGTAATTTGTGTCTGTGGGGGCCCGGGGTGGGCATTATTGCAGACTGTCTGAGCTTCCTACCAGCTGGAGAGAGCCCAGATGGACCAGCCTGGCCCCTATTTACTTCTGGCTCACCTGTCTGTCCCCCCTTCCCTTGACTACAGCCAGCTGGGCCATACTTACCAGGCAGGGAAGCGTGGCCCTGGTGCTTGTCCCAAGTCTTGGAAACAGAGCTAAGCCCCAGCAGGACCAAGCATGGCCTTGGGAAGCCAGGAGCCAGGGCTGGACAGATGTGATTTGAGGTCCCATGGTGCCCCCTGCTGGCCACAGTCAGGTCTGATTCCAGGGATCCGGGCTGCTCCTGAGCCCCAAGAAGAGGGGTGGCCCCCCTTTTTCCTGGCTCCCTCCATTTAGTGGGCCCCCAAGTGCGCAGTGAGACACAACACACCTCTGGGCCCCTTGGGGAGTGGACCCCTGGTCCACCATCCAGAAAGTTCCTAATCTCTCCAACATCAGTTGGCCATCAAGGCATGGCTGCCTTCTTGAGGTGAGGGGACACCTCAAGGTAGGACAGGGGCTGCAGTGGGCAAGCGCAACCAGGATCCCTGATCAGCCCACCCAGCAGGGCCGGCAGAGGCTGGACTGACCCTAACCACTCCTGCCACACCCATGTCCCTTTGCATCACCCTGGGCGTGTCCCAGGACACTTAGAGGGCCCGGGAGGACAGGAGCCCCGTGAGCTCCTGCCCCTTGCTGCCTGGCCTCTCTCCCAGCCCTGCTGCATCAGCATCCCCGAGGCCAGACTGTGCCAGCACAGGGCAGCCAAGTGCACTGTAAATCAGCCTGGCAGCCCTGGTCCCCAGGGACACAGCTCAGGCCGTGACCTTGGCCGGAGGGTTGCAGAAGAGCTGCCAGCAGCCATTTGGAAAACTCTGACATGTTCCAGACCGCAGGAGAAGGAGAAAGCAAGGTCGATGGAGCGAGAAGACACACAGCAACCCGCCCTGGGTCCCCACAGCTGCTGGCCGGCCTCTGGTTCCCAGGGGTGTGGAGAAGACCCCACTTCACAGCTGCTCCAGGCACTACCCCGCCCATCGCCCTGGGCATCCTTAGCCTTGGCGCCATGGGCATGGAGGGCTGGGGAATTCTTTGCAGCAGGACTAGGGTTCATCTGTGTGCTGTGGGGTGCCCCCTGGCATGGGCAAGTTGGGTGCAAAACTGCCCCAGGTTGAGCTCATGGCCTTCGGAGGAAGAGATGACCATGCCCACTTTACAGAGGGGTAAATGGAGGCTCAGAGAGGTTTGCAATCACCATTGCTAAGAAGCATGAGCAAGCTGAACCCTTGGCAGCCATAGATGGGTAGGCAGACAAGGGTCTACCCATTACCACCTGCCCCTGGCCCTGCCCTTGCCCCTGAGGCCTCCTCCCTGGCAGCCAGGCCAAGCAACAAGCCCAGGATCTCTGAAGGAGGGTGGTCCTCCCCTGCCTGCCCCTGCTTATTCTGCCCCGTTCTGCTCTTCAGGCCCCTAAATAATCTGGAGCTGCTGCATCAGCAGTTTCTGGCCGCCAGCTCTGCCTCATGTTATGAGGCATTTATGGGCTCCTAGGGAGCAGCTGCAGCATGTCCTGTCAGGCTGGGGTGACCGGGGCAGGACGAGCCCCCCCTCCAAGTCCCCAACGCCCAGTCCTGCCTCTCCCAAGTGACCTGGCCCATCCTGCACATATTGGGCCAGAAGAGTGGAAGAAAATCTTTCTGATTTATTGACCTTTTAAAATCACAAATCAGAATGCGAAAGCAAGTTGTAGCAGAAAAAACAAAGTCATAATAATTTTATATGGAAATTATCCTCAATTCTTCATCCAGAGCTCATAACTGGCCAGACTTTCTAATAGATATTTCTAGAATTTTTCCATAAAACACCCAAGCACAAATATTGCCCCCCATCTCAGCATTTGAAGCATACTTGTGTGCTGAGGATTGACATTTCTTGTTTCTAATTTCTTTTCATATTTTTGGAGGGCTTGAGTGTGGTATTTTTTTTAAATTTATTTATTTATTTATTTATTTATTTATTTATTTATTTATGTGTGTGTGTGTGTGGCCAGCTCAGCCCACCAGGGGGTGGGGCTGGCTGGCATGTGGTGCTGGGGGATTGAACCACCGTCCCTGTGCTTTGCTTAGCTTAGCTTGTTCTAAGTGGGTGCTTTAGACCACTGAGCCATCTCACCAGCCCTTGAGTGTGGTATTTTGATACATGTATATAATATACAATGATCAGATCAGGGCATATTTAACATAAAATTAACATATTTATCATAACAAAAATTTCTTTGTGTTAGGAACATTCAAAAGCCTCTCTTGTAGCTATTTTGAAATATAGATTAAATTATAAGCCAGGCGCGGTAGTACATGCCTGTAATCCCAGAAATCAGGAGGCTGAGGCAGGAGGATGGCTCCATGGTGAGTTCACAGCAAGCCTGAATTATAAAGTAAGTGTTTGTCTCCAAAACCCTATGTAAGGAATGTTACCAGCCACCGTGCCATCACCGTGTTTCAGAACATGAGCGCTGACCCCTGTATAGAACCATATCGACGGGTATGATTTCAAGGGCCTCACTTCAACACTGAGAAGTGGCTGTGTTTATTTGTTTGTCTGTCTATAGATTTTTGGTTTTTGAGACAGAGCCTCACTATGTAGCCCAGGCTGGGCTCAGTCTTCCTGCCTCAGCCTTCCTAGTGTGGGATTACAGGTGTGCACCACCATGCCTGGGAAAGTGGGCTCTGCTGAGACACCCATTTTACAGCTGCACACACTGAGATGCCAAAAGTGTCGTGCCAGGAACCTGAGCTACAAGCTCCCCAAACAAAGTGGATCCAAGAACCCCAAACAACTCCAGGTAATTTAGTTATCAAAGAAGAGAGTACCCAAAGGATCACGGGACGCAGAGACATATGTCGGGACAGCTAGGGGCAAGGAAAGACTGCAAAGCCTGGAACACTCAATAACCCTGCCAGGGTGGGCAGGAGAGCTGGCGCCCAAACTCAGCCTGGGCACTGCCCTCGGCCCAGGTGTCCCCGCCCAGCCCCCGTTTCAGAACCTTGGACCTCTACCTTTCTTTTATTTTAACCTGGTATACAAAATGGAACACTGCGCTTTGAATTCCAAAGGAGGGTTTTGACAATAAAAGAGAAACCCAGTCCTCACCCTTGTCAATGTGCACAGGAGTCCATCCGCACAGTTTAGAACAGTGCCTGCCATGGACAGCCAGGGTGCCCCGCATTTCCCCAACACCTCCTCCCTCCCACCAACGCCGCGTCCGTCCGTACAGCAGGTCCCCTGAGGCCCGAGAGTCAGCGATGGAGTGCCCGGGGTCCCCGACAGCTCAGGCCTAGCGGGGACACAGCAGGCTGCACTTTGTAGGGTGGCTTGAGCCCAAGGGCCAGCACGGGCAGTGTCCCACACTTCCAAGGGCCAGCACGGGCAGCGTCCCACACTTCCAGGCCGGGGAAACAGAACTCACGTACCATGTGTCCCAGTCATCGCGCTGTTGGACACGTGGCAGCCTGTACGTGACAGGGATTCCCTGCACAGATCTGAAAGGTAAGATTCAAACGCAGCTTGGACTGCTCCTGGTGGCTTTGGGTGGGCGGCCTGAAGACCCTCAGATCCGTGTGTGTGCTCTAAAAGTGTTGCAGGCTCCAGGAGACAAGGCCTTGGGCCCAAAGAAAACGAGATCCTCAGTCATGTTAAGAAAGGCCCAGGAGGAGCCAGCACAGTGGTGCACCCTGTCATCCCAGCACTCGGAGGCTGAGGCAGGGGGATCACAAGTTCAAGCCCAGTCTGGCAAATTAGGGACTTAGTGAGCCTTCATCTCAAAACAAAACAAAAAAAGACCTGGGGATGTAACAGTGTGAGGTTCCTGGGATCAATCCTCAGTCACACATACACCCAAGGCCACACCCAGGGCCCAATAAAGCCTGGGCATGGTGGATGTTGGCATGTGCCCATAACCCCAGCTACTTGGGATGAGGTAGGCAGATCTTAAGCCCAAGGCCACTCAGTGAGACTGTCTCAAAGTAGAATAAAAAGGGTTGGGGATGCTGCTCAGTGGTAGAGCACTTGCCTGGCACACACAAGGCCCTGGTTCAAGCCCCAGCACAGTAGTGTCAGAAAAGAAATTCCAGCTCAAATTATCTGTCGATTATAATGGCAAAATTAGAACTTATACCCCACCCCCAGGGCCCACTGGGGAGGGGCGCGGAGCTAGGGAGCACAGCCAGTGGCTTAGGGGCTGCGGGGGGGGGGATAGCTTCTCAGGTGCCACCCCACAACTGAGCAAGCATGGCTGACAGCGATAACCGAGTTATTTCATGAGCACTTGTAGAGATTTTTTGAAGTTTCCCCAACAGAAAGAAATGCTAAATGTCTGGAGCGACACATACCCCGCTTTCCTGATCTGGTCTCTACCTGCTGCGTACCTGTGCTGCAATGTCACAATGAATCCCGAAACTTGCGCCATTGCTCTGTGCAACCAGGACTAGTAAGTTTTTTTTTTTTTTTAAATAAACGATTGTTTAAAATTGTTGAGCAGGTGGGCAGGTGCAGGTGGGCAGGTGCAGGTGGGCAGGTGCAGGTAGGCAGGTGGAGGTGAGCAGTTGGAGGTGGGCCGGTGCAGGTGGGCAGGTGCAGGTGGGCAGGTAGAGTCCCAGTCAAAGGAGCTTAGAGTCCTGTGGCCAGGAAACAGCTCACAGTATGTAACCCACAGTATGACAACTGGCCAGGTAGAGTAACAGGGTCCCCAGCGAGGGTCCAGCTTCAGAGTGGCAGCTCGTGTGACAGCCTTGCGCCACAGGTTTGTATTTCCATGCCACAGATGCATTCTAGAGAAAACCTAGCACGAAAGTGGGGCCAAGAGCCACCAGCCAGAAGTGAGAGCATGACACTGGGCCAGACTGGGAGTCCAGCCATCCGTGTGAGGTGCCCTCAGGGCTGGCACCGCCAACCTGAAGGACAGGACAACCCTGTCACTTTGGGGTGTTCGACCGCTACACTCCCCCAGAGTGACAACCACAAACATCCTCAAGCACTGTCAAATCCACCCCCTGCAAGCGTCTCAGTTGGGTGTCCCTTCTGGCGGAGAGGGGGTCGCCCTAACTGTACCCACACTGCTTTACTTCCTTGAACAGTTCAGGATCCAAGGGTATGGGCACGGAGGAGACAGGTGTCCCTTACACTACTGCTGTCCTGCATGTTCGAAATGTCTGAAATGGAACCACTGTGTGTGGAGGGCACACTGTAACCAGGAGGGAGGGAGATGGTGGCAGGGCTCCAGGACAGAGCTGGTGGCAGGGACAGTGGCCAGGCCCACAAGGGTGACAGGTAGATCAGGGTGGGGCGAGGCCGCTTGTGGGCTGCACCTGTGAGGAAGGATGGGTGCAGGGTGAGCTGGTTGGCCAGGCCAGGGCCAGGGCCAGGGCCATCGGCTACAGCTGGGCAAGGTGGCAGATTCTAGGTGACTAGCGCACCTGGACAGGGTCTCTGCCTTCCATGCCTAGACGATGATGAGCTTGGCCAGCTTGGGCTCTTGTGGGGGCTCCCTTAGTGGGGACTGGCTGTGGTGGGGACTGCAGGTGGTAGGTGCATTTCCATCTTTGGCGGACGGCGCCATGCAGGGTGCCCTTGGGCACCTTTGTCCCCACCCTGAGAAGTGGGGGAGCTACAGAGGCCCACAGGCATCTGGGTCAGAATCATTTGTAGCCGTCCACATTGCAGGCCTGTTGGAGACCGGGTCCTGGAACAAACAATCATGAGGAAGTAGATGTGGCGACATGCACAGCTTCCGGGACCTGCGGTCTGAGCAGTGGGCTCAGCGGCATCCCCTGGGTCTGAGCAAAGAGCTCACCTGTGTTCCCCGGGCTCTAGAATGAGTGATCTCCTGCTCATCAGCTTGGCCTTGCAAGCTATTCCTTTCCTGGGGAAACAGGGAAGGCTTAGCGTTCACTAGGGCAAATGGTGGGCAGACGATCAAAACGTTGTATGTACAACCTTGGAACCAATAAATGCGGTAACTGAGCCCGCACTTCAGTCCTCCTGAACCCAGGTCTGTCATTCGTCTTCCCTCTACCCTGTTCCCCTCTGCGAGGCTTGGACCCCGCACAGGCCCTCCACCGTGGTCCCCTGCTGCTGGAGTGTCACTTGCCCCATGGGTGCCATGTGGGGTGCACACACACACAGGCACGCAGACACACACATACGCTTGCACACACGCAGTTGTTCTTCCAGCTATCCAAACTCTTACCCGAGTTCCCATCCGGCCCAGGGGCTCAAGGCGCAGGAGAGGTGTCCTGGGCTTGTGGGGACCTGGGCCAGGCACGCCCAGCCTGGCCTTGCCAGGATTTGAAGCCACCCTTCTCTCTCACCATGGGCAATCGACACCACCCAGCAGGACCGAATTTGTGAACACTGGGCCTGTTCCACAGGTTTTTGTTTTTTCTTGACTATGTAGCTAGTATGTCTTCTGTAAAATTATTTTTATTGCCTTTATTTACCTCTGTAAAACTTAAAACTGGAACATAAAAAATAAGTCTATAAGCAAGGGTGGTGATGCACACCTGTAGTCCTGGCACTTGGGAGGCTGACGCAGGAGGATCACAGTTAGTTAGAGCTCAGCCTGGACTACATAGTAAAATCAGGACCAGCCTGACCCGCATAACTAGACCCTGTCTCACAACAGAAAATATACAAATAAAATATTTAGAGCTGAGCATGGTGGCACACACCCGTAATCCCAGCACTCAGGAGGCTGAGGCAGGAGGATCATTGTGAGTTCAAGGCCAGCCTGGGCTAAAATGAGCTCGAGGGCAGCCTGAACTGCACAATGAGACCTTGTCTCAAAGAGATTTAAAAAAAAAAAAAAAAAAAAAAAAACAAAGCTCAGAGTAGGTGGAGCACGGTGGGTCTTGAGGGCAGAGGAAGGTGCCCCTTGAAATATTCCAGCACTGGACATGGAATCGCCCGCGCGCCGAACAGTAACCCCCGTGAGCCTGCCAGACTCCGGATGAGCATGGCTTGGCCTTGGTGAGGAATGAGGGGACCACCGTGGGGCGCGGGGGATGGGAAATCTGCGCTTTCTGCTCACTTTTGTTGTGAACCTAAAGTTGCTCCAAGGGAGAGGGAAAAAAAACATGTTTTTAAACATCACTGCCTGACACGTTACCACTGGCAAATGTTAGGGCTTTTTCTAGTGTTTCTTAGCCTAAGGCTTTGCCCTCATACCCAGGAAATTATGTTAACCACAAAAAGGTAGAAATCCTTGAAATAAAAGGGGGAAAAAAAGACATTCTTAGTAGATGAACAACAGGTACAGAGCCAACTAAACGCTGCAATACAGAACACAGAAATGTCGAGGCTGCTTCCTGCTGCGGAGCTGGCGTCAGCTGTGCGTGGAGCCAGGCCTGGGGCACTCTGACATGACACACCTGGAGCACCACCCAGTGCCAGTCCTGTGCAGAGCGGCTCCTCTAGCACTGGGTGGCAGCCACAGTGCCTCGGGGCCCTGCTGGCGACTGGCTCAGGCTGGGTCCTGCCGGCCCAGGCAGCCCCTGCCTCCCCTTCTGACAGCGTCCACCATCACCGCATGGCTCTGCTTTCCTTCCCTTGAGAACCTCCCTTCTGGACAGAAGCGAAGATGCCAGAGAGCTCTGCTTCCGTGGGCCCCGTCCCAGGTACCTGAGATGGCAAACCAGCTGCCCTGGCTACCTGAAGGTGGCATCACCGGTGCGTGAACCAAAGTGAGAAGGGGGTGCAGCCCTGGCATGGGAAGCTTCTATCCAGGTCGTGAACTCTCAGACTACCAGCTGTCCCCAGAGCTGAGCTGTGAGGATGATGGCCCCGGCAGACTTCAGATCGAGGGTCCCTGGGCACCATCCCTGCACCAGGCTTGGCAGACGGCTTGTGTGTGGCAGCACAGGGTGCTGGTAACTCAGGCCTTCTAAGAGGTGGAAGGAGTCCCGTGTGTGCATGAACCGCTGCCCACCACTGTAAATTCTCTTTAAGCTGAATTTAAATTTTGGTTTCCTCCTTGAATTATTTATTCCACAATGAATGGTGAAGCCCAGGCGGTGGGGCAGCTGTGTGGGTCGATCACTCAGGAGTCTAGCAACTTTAAAAATGAGTACAGCAGCTGTAGTAACTGCGCGGGTGAGGCGGCCACCACAGCATTCCTCTCTTGGACCACTTGGCAAATGTTAACCCCCCAACCCCCCTCCGTGCCACCAGGCTGCACAATATTGCGGTGTGGTGGCAGAACCGGCACAGGAGAAGCGGTAGAGCTGAGGTCAAGCGCCCTCAACAGGCAGAGCCTGAACAGCGGCCTCACGCCTGCAGCTCTAGCCTTTATGGAAGTCACCCCCACCTCGGCCATGGCCACAGGCAGCCTGCAGCCCCCACGCCGCCACCAGGAGCTTGGCTCAGGATCAGTCTCAGCCACTGCTCTGCTCAGCTGTTCCTCCTCCCTCCCCCTCCCGGCTAAAGGAGCTGGTGGCTCTGCAGACACTTGTGCAACACCCGATGCATGACACACGCACCGCCAGTGCTGGCCGGGATGCCCCTTGTCACCACCCGGGGAGGGCTCCCGAAGGAGCCGGGAAGCAGCCAGAGCCAGCTGGGCTACAGTGCGCCTGCTGCTCAGTGAAAGACGAGCTCCCACTGGGAAACAGGGTAAGACAGGTCTTAACGCAGTCACATAACTTCGAACCCATCTCAGTTTTATTTCTATTTTTAATTGCCATCGTCTCTTAAAATTTAGCTTTTCAACAGCCAACAGGGCTACTTTTTTCACCAAATTCCAGCTATGAATCCATAGTATAAAGTCAAAGCCATAGCAAGAAAATGGCCATCTGCACAACTAATTTTAGAAAACAGTTTAGTACATATGTTATAAAATTTATTTACAGGTTATTCACATGTACGTATCAAATCTACTCCTGATAATCCACCAAAACATATAAACAAATTGTGCAAAATAAATTCAAGGCAAAGTATGTAAAAAGAAGCAAATCAAGTTTGAAGTAGGATATATAATATTCCTGTTGAGATTGCTAACAACCAAAGAAGGGCCCTTCCCCTCAGTGCCGCGGCAGGGGCATGGGAATGTCCCTCGCATCGCCCCGCAAACTGACCTCCGGCAGCAGCGCAGTGCTGTGCCGGCTACGTCAGCAAAGGCCGCAGGTGACACGCAGCTCCCTGCACCTAAGCCTACCCAGTGCAACACATCAACTGCACATTTCACATCGGGTCCAACTGTACTGAGACGCTGTCACCCGGCTGAGGCTGGCTGGCGAGGAGGGAGGACACAGGGCAGTGGAGTGCTAACCTTGCTGACCTCACATGCGGGTGGTCCTGGGCTCCACCTCCAGCACCCAGGAGGGAGTGGAAACAGCACAGTTCTCCTGCTACTTTTGCATAAACAAGTTAGCGAGGGGTGACCCAACAGATGGACACACCCTCAGAACAAGGGTCTCTTCCCCGAAAAGAACACCAGGATGCATTCTGGTGGACCCTCCCTCTGGACTCGTGTGTTCGCATTAGCACAGATGGAGGGGGAGCTGCCTGGATCCCAGCTACTGCTTAGGCCTCCCTAAGAACCCAGCCTGTTAGACTCCCCACCTTCTCTCCAAGTCTCTGCTCAATCAAATACTTTGCCAAGGAACAGGAAATGCAACTTCAGGTAGCAGTAGTTCACCCACCACGCCATGGACAGTAGCGTGGTGTGGTAGCAAAATGGATGCAGGAGAAGCCGCAGAGCCTGAGGCTGTCAGCTGGGACAGCTGCACCCACACCCAGGGGCAGGGGTCTGCTCTGGGCACTAAGTGTTCCAGGAGGCCCCGCTGGTCCCAGGGTGTTCAGCTGACACAGGCACAGTGGGCACGGAAACGGTGCGGAAACCAGGCAGCCGGAGCACCAAGCTCCACACACTCTGTGCAAAGAGAATTTCTATACCAAACTTTTTGCTTCAAACAGCGGATGAAAAAGACAATTTCAGATGATGCACATTCATCTTTGGGAATGTGTCTTCCTGCCTCAAATTAGTGGACTGGCTGTGCAGCAACCACTCAAGCCCTGAGTTGTCAGACGGTCATCTGTCCATCAGTCATGCTCAGGACGCTCAGGCGCCTCGTGTGGACGACTGGACCCCCGAGCCAAGCCCGGCAGCCCCTCCCTCATCCTGCCCCCTCAGCCCAGAGGGGAGCGCTTCCTTCCTCAACGCTTGCTCTAGGACTCTCCTTCTCGTTTCCTGCCAGAGATGCTCTCTGGGCCTGCCCCAGTGGTCCCCAGAGCTGCCTGGCAGTTGGAATGCTAGGGCAGTGTTAGACTTTGCTGGAACTCGGAGAGCCTCAACAAGTAACTGTGCAGATACTCCCCGGCCAAAGCAGCACTTGTCGCCACTGTGTCTGTACCTGGCCTACTACACAAGCCTCCCCACTTGAGGACGGGTTAAGAATCCCTCTACTTCAACAACAGTACAAATTTCAGCTAGAGATCTGGGGGCATACTCAAACAGTGACAAGAATGTGTCGCACACCCAATGTCCTGTGCTCACTGAAGAGCGCGGCCCTTGGCACCTCACCTCCTGGGACTGCGCTTCCTGAGGTCCCCACAAGACCTTGGCTGTTGTGTTTAAACACAACTAAGAGGCCCCTGACCCATGAGCAGTGACTCAGTTTATCCCAAATGACCTAGGCAGTTAGAGAAACCGGTCTCTATAACAACAGTTGAAAGGACCCGCCTTCCTCTCATTTTTAATATAAAGTTGTTAAAAAATGATTAACATTTTAAGCAGGGAAAAGAAAGTGGTCTACCAGATTAAGCTTTAAAAGGATTTTGTTATTTGCTATAGAAATATACACTGCAGCTCTTGTAACATTCATGCAGACCAACCTCCTTCTCTACTGAAGAACCAGAGCTCAACAGGTGGAGACCAGGAGCCCTGACTCCAAGGACACTAACTCAACTGTGCCCAGAAAACGTGTGCAACTGAAAGATCTACTCAAGGTGAACAGAAGGCTCGGGCATCAGGCTACTTCTGTGTTTGCCAACAATATACAAATTCCTTAGAGGAAAAAACAAATCACCTCATCTGAATGGTCCTAGTCACTGGTCACCTTAAGCTTGTAAAGTGCCTGTAGCTGACAGTCCCCTTGTGTGGCTTTGCTACCAAAGCTTTCTCTTCTTTGAACTGTTATCCTCTGATCTGCTGTTCCAGGCAGACTCCCTCTTTGACTGGTAAGTCGCAAAGCTATAGTTCTCCCACTCACCCTCACTGAGAGCCCACGCCTCTCTCCTGTCCCCTCGCCCGCTCTCCTGGTCATCACCTCTCCTTCTACTCCCAGCTGTGTCAGTGCCAACAGCAAAAAGCTCACCCCGTGCCAGAGGGCAATGGTAGGTCTGAGGGGTGACGTGAGCAGCAGATGGCTGCAGGGCACTGCCCAAGTCCTGGTAAGTCACAGAAAAGCCCAGCTCGCCCCACGGAGGCGCTGCTCCAGGATGCTGGGGGCTCAGGGCTTGCGGATCCCTGAGAAACGTCCCTGCCTTGGCTTCAGCTTTGAATCTCCTGAGCAGTCGTGGGTCCCGAAGTCGGTCCTGCAGCAGCGGCCCTTCAGGGTCCCTTGCAGTTACGGGGACAACAGCTTCATTAGAGTCAGAGGGGCTGTGGTACAGAGAAGCAGCAAAGGGCATCTTGGTGAGTCCACTGTCCAGCCTGCTGCTAGGCAGGCCGCCCAGGGGCCTGGACACCTCGGGGGTAATGGTAGGGGGGTGGGTCAGACTTCGCTGCAGCGCGGGCTTGAGCTTCAGGATCTTCATTGCGTCATGTCTGTAGTTTTTGTCACAGGTCTTAACAATAGCACCACGCTTCTGAGCATCCTGAATCAGTTCATTCCAATGCTGGTTTTCCTTGAGATGAAAGAGAAGAAACAATTACACACCAAAGAAATATGCACGGCAAGTATAGGGCTGTAGCTTTCATCTCTGGTGTAAGCTTTCATGATCAGACACTACTCATCAGACAGAACTAAAAGGCAACAGTAAGCTCCAGTACAGAGCGACAAAGCCACACTGCTAACAGCACAGCTGGCCCTAGCTCGAAGGAGGCAGTCTGGCCGTCCTCAGCTGTTACTCAAGCTACCTGGTAATACGCTGCCTGGAAGGTCTGCTCTTGCCAAAAGCTTTGTTTTAATTTCCACTAAATAAAATTAAAACTTCAGGGGCCAGGAAGATGGCTCAGCAGAATAAGCAAGCACTTGCCTGGCAAGTGAAGGGCCTGAGTTCAATCCCTGGTTCCGCAAATAAATAAATAAATAAATAAAACTTCAGTTCCTTAGCCACACCACCCCATTCCAAGTGCACAACGGCCCCACACTTCTGTGGCCACTGCATGAAGGCTGCGTGTCCAGAGCGCTGTGTGGCCTCTTCGGCAGGGCTGTGAGCTACAACAGAAGACATGGCTCTGGCGGCCAGCGCCTCAGTGCATGTGCCCTGTCGAGAGGCGCAGGAGTACCCTAACCCACTGAAACGGGCTACGGAGACTCCATCCCACTTTGTTTCTTTTCTGGAGGACCTTAGGAAATGAAAAGTACATTTAGGGGAAAAACCCAACGCGTTGTCCCTCTTTTCCCTAAAGTCTCCCAGCTCCAGCTGTTAACTGAGGCTTTATAACCACTAAAACCTGCATCTCTTAAGACAAAAACAAAAGAATGGGCAAAAAGTGGAGGAAAAAAACAATGATGGGAGGAAAAAGAAGTAGACTGCTTTTCTCACACAAGCTCCGCTATACTACTTATAAAGGCGACTGGCTGCAGTGAGGCTGCGTAACAGTTCCCTGCCGTGTGACCCTGGTCATTATCTGACCTCTCTGAACCTGCTTCCTCATCTGTAAAATTGGAATACAGCCCCATGAGGAGCACCAGGCCTGCGGCTCAGTTTCCCTCACCCTAAGAGGCCGTAGAGTTTTGCCCGTGGCTAACACACACGAGGTAGATAGCCTTGCTATTTCTTTTTCTTTTTTTTTTTTTTCGGAACCAGGAATTGAACTCAGCCCCTTGCGCTTGCCAGGCAAGTGCTTATTCTGCTGAGCCATCTCCCTGGCCCTAGCCTTGCTATTTCTGCTAAGTCTACTACACCTGAACTTGGCATTTAACCCAATCCTAGTCATGGCAATAGCTCCTGAGAAAGAAAGGTTCAATTCTGGCTTCTCAGAGAACACCAAGCACTTCCCGATCCCTGCCATTTTTCACAGGGAAACCTGAGCTAAGGAATCAAAAAGACAAGGAAGCCAAAGCCAGAAGCAATGCAGTTTCCATCCCATCGCCTGCCTGCCTGCCTGCCTGCCTGCCTGCCTGCCACTGTCTGCCTGCTGCTGCTGGGCCAGGAGCCAGTCATGCCTGAGAGGCAAGTGCCCCACCGCAGCTCCAGCCCAGCTGCCTCTGCTCCACTCCTCAGGGCAGTGCTGCCCTCTATGACGAGGACAATGCCTTTGTCACAAACTGGAGCTCAGAGCTCTGCAAGCACTTGCACTCCGCTGCCAAACTCCAGCTTCCCCAGCCCTTGCTGAGCTGTCCCGCCTCCTCCATCCATCCTTCAATCTCAAGACAACTCTCCCTCATTCCAGGTGTCAGGCAACGTGCACTACAGGATATGCAGAACACCGAGCTGCCAACAGCACTGGTGTCCGTAAAGGCCCTCCATGAGGGCACCCGGATGAGACTGTCTCTAGCGGGGATTGCCTTTGCAAGTTTTCAGATATTTATTTACACTATTTTGCCTACTAGACAGTAAGAACTGTAGTAGGCTTACTGGATGAGTCTGAACTGCATAGCAAAACCCTATATAAAATAAATAAAAGATTAAAAAAACCCCACCAAGTTATGCCCTGAAGACAAAGCGGCAGTAGGTGCTGCACCCAGCCGTACGAGCCCTGCCGTGGGCAGCGCCGTCTGTCCACCGAGATGCACAGCCACTCGCCCCTGCCCAGCAGCGCCTGTGGGGCCGCGCAGCTCAGCGCACACCCTCAGCGTGAGCTCCTGCTCACTCCGGCGTCAGCTGGCACCACTCAGAGCCACATCAATGAGGCTGTTCTGAACAGTTCACGTGTGTGGCATTACACTGATTATAAACAACCTCATGCTACTGACCATTTTCTGAAAAGGTCACCGTGAGACCTTTTCAAGGTGCCTGGGCTATGGGCCGAGAAAGTGAGCAGTTACACACCTATATAAAAGCGCCAAGAAAAAAGCTGCTGGAGGACGAAACTTACTTTTAAAACCCAAAATTTGTCTCTGATGGAAAACAAAAATAAACAATCCAGGAACGGGCACACTGGAGCTTCTCCCTCGTGGCGCCCAACAGGCTACCTACCATCAGGGTCCTCAAATGTCCAAGGATGAAAAGGCTGTACTTGGCACGCGTAATGGTGACGTTCAACCTCTGCAAACTCGCCAGGAACCTAGCAACAGAAAGAGAATCACTGTTTCCACAGCCGAGCCGTGACACACACCCCTCCACACGACACAGGCAGCACCCGGCAGCTTCTCCAGCACTGCTCCCACCTCCCACCCTTGTAGGCACTTCTCTGTGCCCCACCCAGTTCCCAGTGCAGAAGCAAATCAATTAAAACCAGCAAACTAACCAAGCCCTCCTTGCTTCACCCCAGGGTCACACCCATCCACTTCCCATTCTGACAGATGAGATACTAGAAAATTAGCATGTCTTATGAACACATACCAGTTTAATTACTCCTTTTTTTTTTTTTTTTTTGCAGTACTGGGGATTGAACTCAGGACCTTGTGCTTGCCAGGCAAGCGTTTATTCTACTGAGCTATCTCCCTGGCCCCAGTTCAATTACTCTTAAACACATCAGTTAAAACATCACAGAAGCAGAACTATACAAACATCAGACAAATACATCCGTGCATCAGAAGCATGAAAAAGGTAAAATTTGAAACTAGCTGGGAAAGCGTGAACTATTTATTAGCCCATACCTGGGACTGAGAAAGATCATGTCCACTGCTATTTTCCTTTAGAAAAAGTACATTGCTAACCTAGCGATCCTATCTGGGTCTGACGAGAAAGAACAACAGTAGAGTCTCAGGCGCGGAGACTCAAGGGACCCAACTGACAGCAGTGAAGATGAACAAAATGAGGCACAGCAGGGAACAAAGAGGGACAGGAAGGCCTTTCTGACACAGCCCTTGGTGAGGTAGTACCCCTGGCCAAATACCCTTCGTCCAAATACCCTCTGGTGTTAGATAAAATGACAGGAGATGCATTAATAAACTAGCAGACCTAACAATGGATCTACTTCACAACTTTAAACACAAGTTTTAGAAAAGGAAATAAATGATTAAAGAAATTAATATAATAGCTGTGACAGACAACAGGCCTAATCATGGATTAAAAGCAAGTGCAACAGCAGCAAGGGCAGCTCCTCACCCGATCGAGCCTTGTGTGGTATTCGCTCTGACACAGGTGACAATGATGCAGTCCTTCTGGCGCCCCTGGAAGGCATCCACAGTGTCTACCTCGGCTGGCCTACTTACACAGAGAGAAGTTTACTTCAGAAGTAAAATGATTAGTAAACATATCTCCTTCTATAAAGAGGTAGTATTTTAAACCCTTTTTCATGCTATCTTGGCAGTTGGCGCCCATCTGCTCTCCCCTGGGCCTGGCACCCGCCACCTATACTGCGCCTCTAAATTTGCTTCTATCTAAAAACTTACAGAGCCACTAAGTCCCACGGAGCTGTGAGACGTGCTGCTGTGACTGGCTTCTTAGACGCACACACCCAAGGCCCACCACCTTGTAGCAGCGAAGAGTATTCGCTCTCTCGTATTTCACTGAAGACACATCATAGTTCACCTACTTAGACTAGTAGGTATTTGGGTCATTTCTAGTTTATGGCTACTACAACTCACGTCGCTATAAGTATCCCTCAGAGTTTCTGTGTATTCTGTTCAATTCTTTTGGTTATACACCTAGAATGAAATTACCTAGATGGTAATTCTACATTCAGCAACGCAACGCTTTCTGTAGCAACTTGCCATTTTCTCTCCTCACCACAATCAATGTACACGGGTTTCACTTTTCCACATCTTCCTTGTGTGCTGTTTAATTATAACCATCTTGGTGGATCTGAGGCGGTACACCGTGCTTTCGCGTTTCACTTCCCCAATGACAAATGATGCTGAACATCTGTGTGCTTACTGGCCACTTGTACACCTTCGGAAAACCATTCAAATCTCTTGCCCATTCTTACAACTGAGTTGTACGGGTTCTGTATTCCAAATAGGATAATCTTCCCAGATACGTGATCTACAAGTATGCCCCTCCATCTCCTTGGCTGTCCCCCCACCCCTTCCACAGTGCTGGGGGAGGGGCCCCGGGCCTCATGCACTCTGGGTAAGCACTCTCCCCTGGCCCACATCCCCAGTCCTTTCTGTTCTGACCCACTATTTTTTCACTTTCGTTCAGACCAATGTGAGCATGTTGCCCTTTGGTGTCATCTCTAAGAAACCACCGCCTACCTAGAGGCCAGCAGCCTCGGCGGGAGCTGTGCCCTCGACCTTGCGCTGCCCTCCGCTGTGCGGAGCACGGCCATGCTCACGCAGTGCGCCTCTTCGCTTACTTCACAGTTCTCCGCATGCAGGGTTACATTTCCTTGGCTAAGTTTATTTCTAGGTAGTTTATTCTTTCTTGATGATACGGTAAGCAGAATTTTTTTTTCCTTTTCAGGTTGTTCACTTTGGTGCACAGATGAACAGCAAATGCTTGCTACACAACCTCATATCACGACCTCCGCTAAGCTCACGTACTGGCACTCATATCTTCTTCACGTGGCTCTGTTAGGGCTTCTCTAAGCAGATGATGCCACTCAGGAACATGCGGTTTTACTTCTTCCTTTCGATGCCTTTTCTTAACTGCGCTGGCTGTACCTCTAGTTGACATGGAACAGAAGCAGCGAGGGCGACCTTCCTTTGTGATCTTAGGGCAATGGCTTCCAGGTCGCCATCAAAAATGATGAAAACTGTGAGGGTTCATGGATGCCTTTCACTAGACTAAAGAGTCTCCTTTGTATTCCAGGTTGGCTCAACCTGGATGCCCTTTCTGTGTCCACTCGACAGCCAGGCAAATCCCTGGCTCTCCCAGTTTATCTTTTATTGCATTTTAGTACAGGGTCTACAGGGTCTCACTACATAGATCAGACTCGTAGTGATCTGCCCCCTTACTCTCCTAATGTGGGGCACCATGCTGACTCTCCCATGTTGACCCAGGTCTGCTTCCCTCAGATGAACCTCACTTGGTCATGGCATATAACCCTCTCACTGCACCGCTGAGCTAAGTTTCCTACTCCTTCGCTTAGGACTTCTGCATCCGTATTCAGAAGGAAGGAGCTGTATACTCATCTGTCTTCTGGCAATCCTTCCCCCGGCTTTGGGAGGTGGGCAAATACCCCTGGAACACAAGTCAGGATGCGGGCAGGGGAGCAGGAGTGATGGAGAAGGGAAGCGTGCACGCTTCAGTGTCAGAGCTGAAGGTAACCACCAAGTGCTAAAAAAACATTTACTAAAAACAAGCTGGGATTAAAGTGCCGGCCCTGCTCCCAGGGCACACTGCGTTGGCATTGAGACTGGGTGTGTGGCACACACCCGTAATCCCAGCTCTTGGAAGGCTGAACACAGGCGGATCACTACAAGTCTGATCTATATAGTGAGACCCTGTACTAAAATACAAAAAAAAAAAAAAACAAAAAAAAACAAACAAACTGGGAGATGAGGGGACTCTGCATTTTTGGAAGAAGAGACTGATGTTTTTATTTTAGTGCTTGGTAAGATAAACCCGTGAAGCCTGCCTTGAGCTTTTCTTTACTGTGAGCTTTGAATACTAACATTATCTCTTAATTATTACACAGGTCTGTTTAGATTGTCTATATTTTTTGTAGTTAATTCTGGTTGTCTGTGGTGTTTGGGTTAAACTTTTGAGGTAATGGACTTCTAATACTGCATCATGATTTTGCTGTACAGGTAAGAAGACAAAAACAATCTACACTCTACACATAAGGACACCAGAAGAATTATACAACTTTTTCAAACTTCACTAGTCTTACAAAGCATTACAACGTAGGTCAGCAAGTTACAGAAACAAGGGGAGAACACTTGTGTTTTGGGTAACGGCACTGGCCAGCACAGGGTCGACTTCTGAACCCCTTGCCTGGAGGCAGCTCGAGGGTCCCCAAGACCTGGACCAGGGAGCCACAGCAGGGCATAGTCCATAAGAGCTGCATTCCCAGCTTCCTGGTGCGGCACCGTCAGCCTCCTTTCCATCTTTTAACAGAAAAATAGAAATATATATAAAATATCTCACCCTTTCCTATCAAACTCTTTCTCCAAATCCTTCTGAATCATCGTCTTCTGAGCCTTGTAATGGGTTATTATGCCAATGTTTCGGAAATTGGCCTCTCTCTTTTTGTCCTTAATAAGTCTCATTATTTCCATCACCAATTTTATTTCTTGAGCATTTATATATGAGCTAAATTAAGATGGGAGGAAAAGAAAAACTGTATCAAGAGTCACAGTAGTCTAACTGCTAACAAGCACCAGCTAACCCCCTTCCTACTAGAGGGAAGGGCAGGCAAACAGGGCTTGCCTCTTCCTCGGGCAGTAGCGGCTCAGGGATGTTACAGTGAGCACTCAGGCCACCGTCAATAAATACAAACAACAGCCCTGACAGTGGGAAGCCTCAGAGGAAAGTTGGGTCGGTCCGGCTGACTCCCCCAGCTCTTCACCTGCTGAGACAGTGACAGCCGTACTACGAGCAAGAGAACCACAATGTACAAATATGAATAAAGTGCCAACATCACTTGGCTTCCTACTGCTCACAGACCGAGAAAGAACGTCACATACATTATTCTCAACTCCCCACCACTGAGTAGCGGCAGCATACCCCACGTTGGCGAAGATACCGTCTATGCAGCAGCCAGCGTTCAGAGAGCAGAGCAGCAGGGCACCCCCAGCAAGCCTGTGTGCACCCTCCCTGCCCTCCTCACTCCCACCCCACTCCCTAAAGTGTGTGCTCTCTTGTGACCTCAGGGGACGCCTAAGGCTGGCTCTCACTGGCTTTCCACACGACCTACTGGCTGGCCACCTGCCCATCCCTAAGGCCATCAGCTCCCTGGCCCTTCTCGGATGCTGCTTGGAACTCTCAATCAAGCTCTACTCTCACAGGCTGCATGGTGGTGGCTCTATGGCAACCTGCTGGGGCTGCTGTCAGCCAGTCCACTCCTCTTGGGTTTTGTTTTTGCTTTTTTCTGCTCTGAGCTACATCAGCCCTTTCTTTTTATCATGAGACAGGGCCAGGGCTCCAACTGGTGCTGCCCCTTCCTCAGCCTCCCGAGAGCTGGGATTACATGTGTGCTGTGCACAGGGCTCCTCCTCTGTGTCTCCTGCAACCTCTTTACCTGAACCCCGCTTCTGCTCCAGGACACTGACTGCCTGGCAGTGCATGGGCAGGGTGGGCATGGAGGAATTTGGGTTTCCACTTACTCCAGGAGGCGAGAGGCCCGGTGCAAACACTAAGAAGCATGCCTCCTGGGTGGGCACTCCCGCAATATCTGCCCTCACACACCGCCCCGAATCCCGTCCTGTCCCATTTCTGTCTACTCATTCCCATTCTTGCCGCTCAACTTCCGCCCGGCCACAGCCACCCAGGGTGACTGCCCAGATAAAGGGATCAATGTCCAAGTTACTGTTGCCTCCCTAGGTGACCAGTCCCCTTGCCACGGGCCTGAGCCTGCACCCCTCAGCAATGCCACCTCCTCGTGCCTCTGTGCACTTGCCGGCCTGACCCTCACTGCTAGTCCACTGGACAGGAGGAAACACTGTGTGTGTGCAGGAAATGTTTTTAACATAAATCTAAACAGAAATAGTGCAGCAATTCTGACGACTATCCGAAATGGGAAGTGAAGAAGAGAACATACTCATTATCCCGTCTTTCTGACCCGTCGCTGACATCAAACACGAGGTAAGGCTGAAATGGCCAGTCTGACGAACATCGCAGAGATTCTGTGAACCTGTAAGGAGCAGTCGCATAGGAATCTAGGTTACCAGGACAGATCGCACTGTCACCACAGTTAGGGGACAAGAGAAATCTTTTATAGATGGGTACCAATAAAAGGTCCAAAACAGTTCTATTTCTATTCTAGTGCTACAGAAATTGATCTCTAACAATTACAAAAGGAAAATTACTCAAAATACAGTGAATGGAAAAAGGGTAAGCCATACAACACTGCGACTAGTCCAATTCTTTAAAAATTTTAAAAAGGGAATAAAAGATGTTCATGAAAGCACTGGGGGGACAGTGGTAGAGCACCCGCACAGCTCAGGTGCAGTTCTGGGTCCTCCTCAGCACCAAGAACAATGGCACAGAAGCCTAGAAACAGAAGCTCCAATGATTACTTTTGGATCGTATAAATATGGGTGACTTCTCTCTTTCTGCTGTCTGCATCTGACCCAGCTAACAGTAAATTTTTTTTCCCCCGGAACCGGGGATTGAACTAAGGCCCTTGCACTTGCCAGGAAAGCGCTTATTCTATTGAGCCATCGCCCCGGCCCCAACAGTAAAATTATTAAAATGCTGTGATAAGACTGAAGAACACAGTAAAATGGCTATGCTTCCTCAGCAATGACACCTACACATAAAGGAAGCCTGCAAGCCGCCAAGGAACCTACTTGTGTGTTTTCAAATTCCTGCAATAGATGTAATTGGAAGGAAAGAGGCATATGTCTGGATGCATCCTGTACTGGATGACGAGCTGCACCACCGGCAGCCTGCCCACGGCATTCTGCTCCACCTTCTCCTCCAGCAGTTTGCAGAAGCGCGCCATCATCGACTGGTCGTAGCCATAGTCCTGTGCTTTCTGTGGGGGAAAACAAAGCCGTCACCTCCAGTAACTGCTCGTACCTGCTTCTGTGATGAAGCAAGGACCACTCCCCGACACGACAATGACCACGGCAAGGCTCAGCGGCACAGTTCATTATGTGAAGAACTGCGTCAGGATGTGCACTCCACCCTTCTCCACAGAGGGACACCCACAGTCACCCTTCCCATGCAGAGGCGTGCACTCAGTGGGAGGCCTTCCAGGCTGCTCCTCGCAGGCGTGCACCTGGCTCAGGTGCTGTACGAAGAGCTGTGCCATCATTTTCAGTAATTCCCATCAAAAAACACTAACAAGGGGCCGGGGAGATGGCTCAGTAGAATAAGCACTTCCCTGGCAAGCACAAGGGCCTGAGTTCAATCCCCGGTTCCGCAAAAAAAAAAAAAAAAAAAAAAAAAAAAAACTAACAAGAACAAAAATACACTCATTCCACTATTGAGAAGAAATGTTTTGAAAATGATGTTTTCTGGGATGACCAGAGTAGCACTGTGTAAATCATGTATTAGAGTTGGGTATACAGGCACCCATCTGTGATCCAGCACTCTTGAGAGGCTGAGGAAAGAGGATCACAAGTCCTAGGTCAGCCTGGGCAACTCAGTGAGATACCGTCTCAAATGTGAAAGAATAAAAAGGGGCAGGGATGCAGTTCAGTGGTCAAGTGTTTGGCTATCATGTGCAAGGGCCTGGGTTCAACCCTCAGCACTACAAAGAAGAAGAAAGCTTTATATTGGGAAAATCCATTGAACTACACTTCAAAGCCACAATCCAGGCTCGTCCACGTCCCCCATGCTGACCTCACGGGCCTAGAGAGCACAGGCTTAAGTGGTGAACAGAGGCGCCTGGACCTCAGCCCAGGCGCTTATCTTCCCACAGGGTGAGTTACCATCACTTCCATCCCCTCCTGCCACCTTCGCTCCAGGCGATACAAGGGGCGCACTTTCTTGTACTACGGGACTGAGAATTCAATTGGAAATGTACTCCAAAATGACCTCTATCATCTCCATCAAATTGTGCATATTTAAATATAAATGAGCAGGTTGAGACTCTTTTCTGCCTTTGTGTTACTGAGACAGCACACATCCTTTCACGTATGGAGCACACAGGACCACACCCTCCAGGAAGGCCTGGCGCAGCCAGGAGCCACCAGCAGGTACGGCTTCCGGCCTGCGGCGCTCACACTGCTCCTCCACATGTGCACACACAAAAGCGCACCACGAAGAAGGGACACACTCAGCCATTTTTATTATTAAAACTCAAGCAGTGCTTCTCTTTTCTCAGTCATTCCCTACTTTTCCCTCCAAATGAAGAGATGATAATGCAAAAAACAGCCACCCTCTGAAAAACAGGAGCGCCCCCAACAACTCACCATGGAAATGACTGTGGGAGGCAGCTGCTTAGGGTCTCCCACCAGGATGAGCTTGTTGCAGCGGTGGATGAGAGGGGTCAAAGTCTCGACCTCACACGACTGCCCGGCCTTGGTGAGAAAGCGAAGAGGGCAACACCATCTCAATCTCCGCTACTGCATGATCCACGCACAATTTACCTAATTCACTCAAGTTCTAGCCATTCCAGAAAGTACCATATTTCTACATAAAAGTATAACTTCTTCATTAGAAAACAACATATCTAAAAACAGGGCTGGCTAGATAGCTCAGTGGATTAAAGCGCCTGCTCAGACAGATGCAGGGGCCGGGGGCAGTGGGCGGTGTGTGGCTCGCTCCGGCCTGGAGCACACTGAGACAGTGATTGAGACTAGGCACGGTAGCACGTGCCTATAATCCCCATGCTTGGGAGGCTGAAAACAGGAGAATCACTATGAGTCCAATCTACGTAGTGAGACCCTGTAGACCTTATGCTAAACACATTTTTTTAACATTTATTTTGTGTGTGTGTGTGTGTGTGTGTGTGTGTG